CCAAGATGTCATTCTCTTGGGCTGTGGTGGGAAGATGGGGGCCGGAGCCAACATCCAACATTGGATATGTTGAGAGACTGGACATTAAAGGGGCTGTAGGCCTTTTGGCTGGTGTTAATTATACTGTCTTAGGGCAGAAGTCCCGGGGGAGTGGGGATCCTGAGGGAAGGGGCAGGAATTTCTCCTTCTTGGCCCTAGTTCCCAAGGTCTTCTGCCTTCATCTCTGCATGAGCTCTCCCTCCCAGAGACCAACTCTTTTTTTATTTTATCTTATTTTTTAATTTATGTCTGGAGCCTAGCTACTCTGCATTTGGGATTGGGGATGGCGGGTGGGGGCGCAGTCCATGTTCAGCGTTCTAGCAACGTGTGTGTGTGTAAAGGCTGTGCAGCCAAAATACCATCTGGCCAGACAGGCCCACCCACTGACTGTGTGGTCTCATTCTTTTAAACCAGGAGGGACATGCTAGGGGGAGGTCACACCATTGTAATGGGAGGGAGGCTACAACTTTCCTCTCATTCCCCCACCCTCAGGCAGCCTCTCTCCATTTACTACTAACCAACCCTTCAAACTGGAGCAGAAATATCTGCAGATACATATGTGGGTGAATGTGTATGGGGTTGTGGGTGTAGATAAATGGACAGATGGGAGGATGGATAAGTGATTGATGACTGATGGATGAATAAGTGGACAGTTTATGGATCAATAATGCATAAGTTGGTAAATAAATGGATGGATGGATAGGTGATTGGATGAGTAAATGGGTAGATGGGTTAGTAGGTGGATAGGCAGAGGGTGCGTAGGGGATGTCCATGGACAGATGGATAGATAAGTACATGGACAAATGAACAGGTGGGTGCATAAGGTAGGTAAGTTGATCGATGGATTTATGGACAGGTTGTGAGTAAATGGACAGATGGATGAGCTAATGAGTGGGAAGGGTAAGGTGAGTGAATAAATGATCAACAGAGCTATAGGTAGGGGCATAGATAGGTGGAGAATGGGTAAGTATGGATAGGTTTGTGAATGGTTAGTGGATAGGATGAACTTACAAATAGGTGAGTGATTGGGTGAGTCAATTAATGACTCAATGAAGAGACGTGTGGAAGGATAGGCAGAGTAATTGGTTACGTGGGTGAAGGGATGGAGAAATTGGCAAATCAGGAGTGTTATCAGTGGGCAAATAGAAGATTACATGGGTGAGTAAATGGAAAGCCTAGGCTTGGCCCTGCATTACTGCTCCCACATCAGCACACACCTTTAAGAAGAAGGTGGAATCTTCTGTGCATGCCATACCCTTGTGCCATCACTTTTCACATCATTTAATGCTCCAGATGACAACCAAATTGAGATAACTTTGCCGTCTGACAAGTGAGGAAACAATGTAGGTCACTTGCTCAAGGATACAGCAGTGGTGAAGCTCACCTGCGGTCCCAGCTGCTCTGAAAGCTGAGGATCACTTGAGCCCAGGAGTTAAGGCTGTAATCTGTGATTGCACCTGTTAACAGCCACTGTACTCAGCTGGGGCTCACGCCTATAGTCCAGCACTCTGGGAGGCCAAGGCAAGTAGATTGCCTGAGCTCACAGTTTCGAGACCAGCCTGAGCAAGAGCGAGACCTCATCTCTAAAAATATCTGGGCATGGCTTGACACACTTAGCACAGTGGTTATGGCACCAGCCACATACACCGAGGTTGGCAGGTTCGAACCCAGCCTGGGTCAGCTAAACAACAATGACAACTGCAACAGAAGAATAGCCGGGGGTTGTAGTGGGTACCTGTAGTCAGGTACTTGGGAGGCTGAGGCAAGAGAATGGCGTAAGCCCAGGAGTTTGAGGTTACTGTGAGCTGTGATGCTACAGGACTCTACCGAGGGCAACAAAGTGAGACTGTCTCTAAAAAAATAAAAAATAAAAATAAAAATAAAATGCATCCAGGGATTCCGTGAACTGGGGACTGAAGTTCTGTTTTGTTCATTTTCTAATGGTACATAATGGGGCAGTAACTGTC